CGAGATTTAAGACTCAAGAAGTTTTTCATTTTGGTTCATTCAAAGAAGCAGCTTTGGTGTTCCATGTTCCATGATTAACACTTTAGAACAAAATGCAGTTAATAACAGTTAATAATTCCACATAAGCTCACTGTGTTACGGTCAGCATATGCTCAGCTCTTAATGCATCTTTTTTTTTTTGGTAACATTTTGGTAGGGACATCTATTTGAATTACCAAGAAGAACCAAATTTCTCTCAAACACTGGTTGTAATAAATACTGTCTACTGTTCTGAAGAACTAAGACATGATGTCTTATACCCCATAGAAACCGGTTAAGAAAATAGCTTCAAGTAAAAAACTGGGCTTCAGATTTTAGACTAGAGATCAAGCGAGATTTAAGACTCAAGAAGTTTTTCATTTTGGTTCATTCAAAGAAGCAGCTTTGGTGTTCCATGTTCCATGATTAACACTTTAGAACAAAATGCAGTTAATAACAGTTAATAATTCCACATAAGCTCACTGTGTTACGGTCAGCATATGCTCAGCTCTTAATGCATCTTTTTTTTTTTGGTAACATTTTGGTAGGGACATCTATTTGAATTACCAAGAAGAACCAAATTTCTCTCAAACACTGGTTGTAGTAAATACTGTCTACTGTTCTGAAGAACTAAGACATGATGTCTTATACCCCATAGAAACCGGTTAAGAAAAAATATGGTAGAGTTGGTACTTAGTGCTCGCCATGGTTCTGGCATGCACTCCCCTCAGCATGGTGGCGTGGGTATACCGTTCCCCATAGCGACCCCTAGAGGACGCAGTTCGAAGTTCCCATGAAAGGGAACGTCTCAGGTTACTTATGTAACCATGGTTCCCTGAGTAGGGGACGAGACACTGCGTCCTCTAGGTTTCTTGCCATGCTGCGGACGCAAGCTTCAGACGAAGAAGTGAATGATGTGTGCTCCCGGCGCCTATTTATACTATAGTCGCACCGGTAGTGACGTCATGGCTGTCGCCGGCCAACGAGTTGGTGTTTTTTCAATGTATGCTTCAGACACGGGTCACGACGAGGCGTTCCCCCATAGCGACCCCTAGAGGACGCAGTGTCTTGTTCCCTACTCAGGGAACCATGGTTACATAAGTAACCTGAGACGTTTTTTTGTATTAATTTTAATTTTAGTTAAGTACATTGAGTTTAACTAAACAAATGAGAAATGCTGAAATTAAATAGTTAAAAAGTTATTTAAATTAATTAAGTTCAAGTTTTTGTTTTATTTATGTAAATGTTTATTTTATTTCAGGTAACAAGAACAGTTTTTTTATGCTTTTAGTTAACTATAATAATGCTGCAAGAGACATTTGAGACCTGCAGCAAAGGAGTTTTTCAGTGAATAATGACTTCAATTTGGGTCTGATTCTCTCATAAAGCAATTGCACTTGCAGTATTTATAGCAATATATCATACAGGATACTTTCAGGATTTCATGAGATTCGCCAAATTACTTGTAGATCTGACTGCATGTATTTGCGAGTGTGTGTGTTTCTTTGTTACGAGCTGATGCAATAATGTTGGTGCTGTGTTGTCCATGATGCTCTGGGGAGATTTGTTGATGTTGTTGCCATTGTGTGTACATGCATGCATGCGTGTGTGTGTGTGTTTGAGTGAATCTGAAAATTTTTTACCTCAATGATGACATTCTGATGACATGCTGCTGTAAGCGAGTGTGTGTGTGTCGTTCTGCTCGACTGAGCTAGCGGAGAGAGAAAACATCTGTCACACGCGTCTGAAGTTTCATTTGTGGCGGATCATCAACATAATGATGGAAACAACAAGCCAATGGCCTCCGAGAGCGCAAGTGTGTGTGTTTGCAGGATATTTGTCAGTATATCTGGTGTGTTTGGGCTCCTCAGACAGTAACAGGTGGAGATTAATAATCGTATAGTAGATGCGTGACCTCAGGTAGGCCACCATAACTCAACGTCTGTTTAGCCGCGTGCCGCTGGAGTGAAAAATGATAGCCGCGGATAAGTAGGCTAACTTACTATCCTTCATCTGTTCTTTTTTTTATTATTCTCTTTTATTTCGCTGTGAGGCACTAATGAATGGACGGCTCTTTTGTCTTTGTTTTGCTCGGACAGACGGAAGACGTGACGCAAACAGAAGTTTCCCAGCAGGTGCTGCATTCAGAGTCCACGGAAAAACAGCAGCCCAAACGGTTGCACGTCTCCAACATCCCCTTCCGCTTCCGCGACCCAGATTTACGGCAAATGTTTGGGGTGAGTTTGAGAACTTCATGCACTATAACACATTTATGTTCCGTTTCAGCCAGCAGCTTCTTTCCTGGGTTCATCGCCTGGAGATTCATGCTCTTTAAAGGAGTAGTTCACCCAAAAATTAAAATATGCTGAACATTTACTCACCCTCAGACCATCAAAGATGGAGATGAGTTTGTTTCTTCATCAGATTTGGAGAAATGTAGCAGTGCATCACTTATTCACCAATGGATCCTCTGCAGTGAATGGGTGCCGTCAGAATGAGAGTCCAAACAGCTGATAAAAACACCACAATAATCCACAAGTAATCCACATCAGCTTTTTGGACTCTCATTCTGATGGCACCCATTCACTGCAGAGGATCTGTTGGTGAGCAAGTGATGAAATGCTACATTTCTACAAATCTGTTCCCATGAACAAGTCAAATTTGGAGTCCAATTTGAGCTGTTTGCAAAGTAAAGTTTTAAAATACAAATAAGAGTGAATGTGTACATAAACTGAAAATGCAAAACGGCAAAATGTTTCTTCTCTCATCACATTTAGTTATGGATTACATGAATCCCGTAAATGATTCATCCTATTTTTTTGTCAGTCATTTCTTGTTGTAAAACAGTTGTCAAATATTAAATATTTAGCTTCTTCACTGCAAAAAAAAAAAAAAGAAGATTTTCCTGCTCAATATTTTTCTTAATCTTAAGTAATGAGAGCAATTAATTATACTTGATAAGTATAAAATTACTTTTTTAGAATTAAAATTACTTGATAAATAATTTTGCTTTTCAAGTAAATGTAAGGTAATTTAAGATATCAGGTCTTGTTTTCTGAAAAAAAAAAAAAATCTAAATTAAGTTTGAAAATTGAGAATAAGAAAAAAATCTGCCGATGGGGTAAGAAAAATAATTTTGTTTTCCCTTTGAATTAAGTAAATTTTTCTTTCCTCATTGGCAGGGAGATTTTCTTCTAAGCATAATTCTCAATCACTTAATTGAGAACATTTTTTTTCAGAAAACAATACTTAGTATCGTAAGTTGTTTTGCTTCTCAAGTATATGTATGTTTATTTAAGAATGAGTATATATTTGTAATGGAAAACAAGACAAAAATACTGAGTAAGAACATTTTTTGCAGTGTAGGAGAGAAATGTGAGAGAAATGTTCCCAATTTCCCAATATCTGAATTACATGAACTGTTCTCTACAGATGATGTGGCGAACTTACCTTTAGGGTAAATAAGATGACTGCAGGCTCACTAAATGCACAGACACACACACACTCTGCTGCGCTGCTTCCTTCTTATTTGCTAAAAATCATCTCAATCATCTTAATGACCTGTCAGCAGCAGGCTGGCCAGAAAAGCTGCTTTAAACAGCGCTCATTTGTTTGGGCTGGTGGCTCTGTCGTAAAGATGATGTTAATTACAGCACAGACTGCCGCGTAGCTGTATAAATTACATACAACATGGTCTGTGGCCCCTCGCTCATTTCCCATCATGCTCTTTGATAGCTGGATTATTGTTCTCTGAGGCTGCCAGGTTTGTGTATGCCAAATCAACACAGTATTTAGCTCGCCGTTATTGTGCATAGGTGGTCCAGATAATATATTATAGGGGTGCTCCAATTGTGAGCTCGCTGCTCAACATTCAAATATATGATATCACTATCGGCCGATAATCACGTTGGGATGTTTGATCGGTGGTCTCTAAAAAGGCCGATCTCAAAAAAACGATCTCAAGCTGATGATGCTGTCGTGAGAGGTTTGGCACCACATGCAGTGGCACCGTCTCAGTCCGGCGTGGGTGAAATAATTATAATGCTGAAGGTGAGGTACTCACCTTCATATTTCTAAATTAAATAACTTATAAAGTAATTTGAAAACCTTGTTTGAGACGTAATTTCACAAACAGCGTGAGTGAATCACCGCGCGCGCTCTCTCTTTCTCTCTCAAAATATGCAAATGGCTTCAAATCACCACATCGCGTCTGTCTATAAGCCATGCTGCACAGTTGACACAGAAATTGTCACTTGCACAATCTAGGCAGTGTCACATCGTCACTAAAGTTTATAAACCCTAAGAGGGGAATTCCCCCCATTTTCAAAAATGAAATTCAGGCCCTGAATAAATGTCTAAAAATCCTGATTGGAGTATCGCTATATATAGTTATAAATGATAAAAAGAAGGCTTTAAAAAGATCGGTATCGGTGATCGGTATCGGCAGATACTGCTTTCTGTGATCGGCCTCAAAAACCCTGATCGGAGCACCCCTAATATATTATACAATATAAAACAAGATTTTTTTTTTTAAAGTTGTAAATAAACTAGTCATTATTGGAGTACGGTTTCAAGAAAATACTATTTCAATTTGTCTACTTCAAGCAATTTCTGAAAATTTGCTGAAAATTCACTGAATTTCAGGCCATCAAATATGTAGATGAGTTCGTTTCTTCATCAAATTTTGAGACATGTAGCATTACATCACTTTCTCAGCAATGGAAGCTCTGCAGTGAATGGGTGCCGTCAGAATGAGAGTCCAAACAGCTGATAAGAACATCACAATAATCCACAAGTAATCCACACCACTCCAGTCCATCAGTTAATGTCTTGTGAAGAGAAAAGCTGCGTGTTTGTAAGAAACAAATCCATCATTAAGATGTTTTTAACTTCAAAAAATTACTTTCTGGTTAAAATACGAGTACGTAATCCATAATATTGCTTTCTCAAGTCATCTGGTCTGAATCAGGAGAGAAATCTGTACAGATCAAGCACTGTTTACAAGCCAAAACAGTTTTGAACAAATATGTTGGTGGATTTTGATGTGAGAAAAGAAAACAACAGGGGATGGACTTTTTCACTGAAGGAAAAGCTATGGATTATGGACTCATATTTTTCCGGAAGCAAAGATTTGAAGTTCAATAAGCAATATTATGGATTGAGGATGGAAGTTAAAAATGTCGTACTGATGGATTTGTTTCTTACAAACACGCAGCTTTTCATTTCATTGATGAGCAAGTGATGTAATGCTACATGTCTCCAAATCTGATGAAGAAACAAACTCATCAACATCTTGGATGACCTGAAGGTGAATATATTTTCAGCACATTTTCAGAAATTGCTTGAGGTAGACAAACCATACTCCAATAATCATTGGTTTATTTACAACTTAAAAAAAATAATCTTGTTTTATATTGTATTAAATGGATCACGCTCTGCTGTAATTGCTTGAAGCGCTACAGGGCTTTGCGTGTTGTTAGTATGTTGAAAGTTAGCCACATTTGCATGAGACATCACAAAAGGTAAACAAAGGCAATATGGCCATACTGTAGCTGTGTAAGCCCAACACCTTGAGACGTAATCGCTCGCTATAAGCTCCATCTGCCTGCACAGACTCAAGTAAGCCACGCTAATGACTCGATCCCTATGCTAACAAAGCTTGGCGGCGTTGATTAGCCTTGTGGCTAATGGAGATTTAGCCTGTGGTGAGCTGGGCCGAAGGTTTGCCAAGAGAAAGCATTGTGGCTAATTAGCTGCTTGGCTAACGGAGAGTTGAAGCTAAATGAGTGGGGCGTCAGGTTAGTGTCGCAGGCTAAAGCGCTGGAGTCTGGGAGTCGCTAATGAGTGCAGAAGTACGGGGCTCATTATCCGGAGCCGAGTGGTTTATTCCTGAGGATGTCCATATGGAAATGTGAGGTAGGAGAGAGCGTTCCTGGAAGTAAAACCTCCGGCTTTGTGTTGGATTTAGGGCTGTTTCTTCTTACCCTCTGCCTGTGGGTCTCAAGGGCTGCTGGGAATTTCTCTCACAGGGGGCCTTACCTTCATCTCCAGCTTTCCCGCTGTGCAGAAACTATGTTAGCATTCAACCTGTGGCTCTCTTCTTTTAAGAGACAGAATTAAAAATCTGCTGAAATCTGACTCCTGTGAGCAGCGAACAAGTCTTCATTGGCATGGAGAAACCCCACCATTAAAGAAAACCCCACCAATCAGTGCACTTCAAAAGATGCAGAGCTCTGAAACTGCCTTCAATACTGCTTTGGTTTGCAGAATACAACATGAGCTTTTGTTTTTTGGCAGGGTACTTTGTGCATACAGTAATTCCCTGCTGGAGAATCCAGCTTCTGACGGAGACTGGTTTTACTCTGGCCGTTCAGAATTGAATTGACAATGCCTTGCAAATTGCAATTTAATATCTGCATATGTATTGAGGTTGCAAACAGGGTTGAGAATCGCTAATTGAATTTTCGAATTGGACTTCAAAGAAATTTCTATAACTGTAATTTTGAAACTATAATTCTATTTCAATTTCTGAATATGAATTGAGGTTGCAAACAGGATGCACAATTGCTAAATGAATTGAAATTAAAGACTGTAATTTTCATCTTAAAAAAAAGCACATTTCTTTCTTTTTCAATTGTATCAATCTTGAAAAAGGCTTAAAGTTTTAAAATTTAAAAATGTTGTACTCTAATCTTTGAGAATTGAATTGAGAATGTCTGTTTTGAGAATTGCTATTCAATTTTTTTTAATTAATTGAAATCCAAAGAAACTCTGATAACTGTCATTTTTATCTAGAAAATCAATTTTTTTTTTTCCCCGAAGAGAAACTTGACGGTTCTAAAGTTTAAAAATAATTTACTCTGGTCATTCAGGATTGAATTGATGATTGCCATTTAAATTCCAATTTAAATGATTGAATATGAATTTAGGTTTTCAAATAATTTGAAGTTCAAATACTGTAATTTTTAACAAGAAAAGCTAATTTTATCAAGATAAACTTGACAAAGGCTTTACGTTTTAAAAAAAAATTACTCTGACCATTCAGAATTTAATTGAGAATGCATTTTATAATCCAATTCAATTGCTGAATATGAATTGAGTTTGCAAACAGGTTGGAGAATTGCTATTTGAAGTTAATTCATATAACTGTAATTTTTAACTAGGAAAGCTAGCGTTTTAAAAGATAAACTTGACAAATGTTTGTTTTAAAGTTTTAATATTTTTAATATTTAATTTT